ACAGATTTGTGAACAATATTTGAGAGAAATAGGCCTTTTGTGTACATAGAAAAAGTCTTAGATCTTTTGAGTTCAGCTCATGAAAAATGGGGGCAAAAACAGAAGTGTTGCATTTATAATTTTGTTCAGTGTATTATAAAATGGAAATAATTTTAAATAAATGAAAAAAATAAGGACATTAAAATTATATAAATGTATGTTTTAATAATCAAAAAATTAATACTATTACATATGAGAAGGAATGTCACAGCTTACATTAAATTAAAAGTTAAATTCTATGGGCAGCACCATGTAGAAAGTATGTAGAAAATACCTCTGAATTATAAAATAGAAGTAATTGTGAATAAATAATAATAATAATAATTTTGTTTTAATTAAAAATAATAAAATAAAATATGAATAGGAATGTTCCATGTTAAATTCATTACTTGTAGAACAATGGACAGCATCCATGACATGTAGGAAATACTGATGAATTATAAAATGGAAATAATTTTAAATAAATAATAACAATAATAATAAAATAATTTACATTTTATTAATAAAATAATAAAATGAAATGAGTAAAAACGGGCAAAAAGCCTGTTTACAGAAATGCACGTACAATGAAAGTCTCTAAAGTAATCATAATAAATGTATAACTAAACAATGTTTTAGTTTTTGCAAATTAAGGAATAAGTAAAAATTATTGTTTGTGATACTCGACAGCATGTCGCAGATGTTGTCAATTGAGCTTAACTCGCATTGACCCTGAAACATTCCTTGAATGTCATGTAATCGATAGAATATTAATCTTTGAATTTGTATGTTTAATTTGGCTTCAAATATTTTTACATAAAAATCTCAGATGATTCATTCTTCTGTTCATCTTCCTGAAACAGAACTTTGCTGAAGTTGGGCAGAAATGTATCCAAAGAAGTAACATTTCGATCAGGGAGAAAGAAAGAAGTCTTCATTTGAAAGATGAATTCTATTCTTGGAAAACGGAATGTTCCATGACAGTTAATTATCATAATTTATTATTATTCATCATGCTTTCACCCTTTGTTTATTTGTCCCTGGCATCCATTATTTCAACTCAGAACTGAACACAGATCTTCAGTTTAGTGTTTAATACCGAAATTGACTTTCAGCCACACACACACACACACACATATATATCTTTATGTCTGGATTTCACATTTCTCCCTCATAACACGAATTGTCACCATTGGCCTGACTGTAGGATGCGTCGTGTGTAATAATCTTAGTGGTAAGTTTGGGTCAGTGAAACCACATGCTGCAATAGATGGATCCGTTTCCAGCGGTTGTGGAAATATCAGCAGCTGCCAGGAGTCCTTCAGTGTTTGGCCCGAGGTTCAGACGCTCTCCTGCTTCACTGCACACCGCATCTGCATGAGAGAGAGCTGCGATGCTGCCACGTTTAATGACATTACCAGCACCATGATTAATGCTCCTAGCATTGTTTAAAGAAATCACCACTTTCAGTGTTTAATGACACTCTTTTTGGTGGTTCATTGCCATCAGAACTTCATCCGAAAAGCCAACATGAAGTCAAACCTCACCCTGTTTACTTTCCTGATATTATTGTGCCCATGTTAATCCGAAGAAAAATACACTTCATACATTTTTAGAGAAGTTGCTTCCGTTCAGCATTTATTTGATTTTAAAAAATACATTCATATTGTGCAATATTAATACAATGAAGGATCATGTTACAGCTTTGCATCACAGGAATAAATTACATTTTAAAATATATTCAAATAGAAAACAGTTATTTTAAATTGTAATAACATTTTGCAGTTTTACAGATTTACTGTATTTTCAATCAAAGAAATGTTCTAATTTTTGAAAATATTTTTCTAAAATATTAAAAAATCTTACCAACTCCAAACTTTCAACCACTGGTGGTTGTAATTTGTATAATCCAGTTAATTTCGACATATTATGGAAGTAAAATGGGTTGCAGAAAATGTTTCATGTTGACTTTCAAAGGCTGAGATGTGATTGGATTGGCTTTATGGAAGTTCACAGCTGTCTGAATTGTGATTCGCTTCACTTTGCTGGTGGTTGCTCGTCATCAGTGTTTGATCCTTTGAACATGTTGTGACGTTGTTGCACTGTTACAGATGTGTGATCTTCTGCCTGTGAGGTGTGGTTTGAGTGGCAGGCGATGGTAAGAACTCTGGGCGTATCAGTCGTTGTATTGTCAGCTCCATCTGTGTGTGTCTGAACGCTTTCTTTGCCTGTTTAACCCGACTAACAGCAAGTTAACCTGCATGACAAGCTACCTAACCAGTGTCTTTGTGGCATGTCTTAGGATAAAATACCAGCACATGCTTTATGCAACTAAACATACAGTAACTCCCTACCCATGAACCTCGGCTGCTTCTGCAGGGTGAATGTTAGCTGTGCCACAGATACTGTATTATTTAACATTATTGATTATTTTACATTTGAGTATGCTACTGTTTTAAAAGTTTGGGGTCAGATTGTTTTTTTTAATAATTTTATTTAGCAAGGATGGCATAAATTGATCAAAAATGACAGTAAAGACTTTTATAAAGTTACAATATATATATATATATAT